ACACGCGATCCAAAGGGCCCCTTCTGAAATCCAAAGGACACCGGGGAGCGCCCATCGGATTCCTCGGGAAAATGCAAAAAGAATCCCTTAGGGCGCGCCTGGGATTCCTCGGGGCATTCATCGGATTCCTCCGGGAATCAGAAGGAAGAGGTGGGGGGGGAGAGGGGGGGGGGCCAGGATTAATTTGTCCTGACATTTGGCCTGACGAAGGGCCCAATCATATGCCGCTGCGAGCACCGCGAAGGAGATGAGACGAAGGAGGGGGGGGCACACATAGCCTTCTGCTACGCAGCGCGACCGGCGCGCCGACATGAATCGGGAGGACGCATGCGAACGTCGCCATTAGGACCTTCCGTGGAACCCCCCATGGGGCCACGAAGCGAGCGAGGGGTGTGCCGAAATTGGGCGGTGGTGCCATGCGAACTTTCCCGCTGGGGCCCTAGGTGAAGCTCCGTATGGGGCCGCGAAACTTGCGACGGGTGTGCCGACATGGGGCGGCGGTGCCATGCGAACTTTCCCACTGGGGCCTTCGGTGGAGCTCCCCATGGGGCCGCGTTGCGCGTGAGGGGTGCGCCGGCATGGGGGCGGCGGCGCCGTGCGAATTCTCACACTGGCGCCTTAGGTGGCGCTCCTTATGGGACCGCGAAGCGCGCGAGGGGTGCGCCGAGATGGGGTGGCGGCGCCATGCGAACTCACCCGCTCGGGCCCTAGGTGAGCTCCCCGCGGGGCCGCGCCAGTGGGGCCGCGAAGCGCGCGAGGGGCGCGCCGAAATGGGATGGGCATGTGGAGAGCACCGGCAGGGAGGCGAGGCTGGAGAAGGAATCGTAGATCCCTTGGAAATCCATACGGTTCCTTCTTAGAAAACGCATACGATTCCCAAGATACTTCACAGGATTCCTTCGGACATCCATGCGATTCCTTCGGGAATCCATGGGGCCCCCCAGGGAATCCATGCTATTTTAAACAAATCCGCAAACTTCCGGACGAAAACCATTGGACTTCGCAAGAAATGCATGAGAACCCTTTGGAACGTCATCGGCTTCCGGCGGACATCCAAGCGATTCCGTCGGAAATCCTTCAGAGTCGCTAGGCAATGCATAAGAGTCCTTCGGAAATCGGCAAGTACCTTTTTAGGGCATCCGTACGACTACGTAAAACAAACACAAGATGCCTGAAAAAAATTGCCGGATTCCTCGGAGGAAACCCACCGGAATCCTCAAGAAAATATATAGACCATTTGGAAGATGCGTCGGAATCCATATGCAAGCCATACGGTTCCTTGCGACATCCACCGGATTCCTTTGGGCATCCATGGAAATCCGTCGGACATCAATAAACATGCCTTACGGCGTCCATCAGCAATCCTTCGGACGTTCCTTAGGCACTCCATAGACATCCTGAGGACATCCATCGGAGTCCTTACGAAACATATAAGATTCCTCCGGGCATGCTCAGGAATCCTTCGAACATCCATGAAATTCCAAATTGAATCCATCGGATAATTCCTAAGGAACCCGATGGGTTCCTCTGAAGACCTAGAACAACACATGTTCATTTCAAAACGCATTCCGTCACCGTCAAGAGTCCACTTTCGTTTTCAGACGAGCGTGGCAATTTGACCGTCGTGGACAACGCACACTTCGCAACGCGCGCGTCAGCGAGTGTCAACCGAAATCCCGTTAGTCACCGTTACGGGATCACTTTACCTTGCAGGCCAACATGGTGATTGTTCCTTTGTAGACAATACAAAGCTCACCGTGCGCGCGTCCGCGCGCGCGTGGCGATATATGTATTGTTCACAATGGAAAAGTAGTCAGGTTGGCCTGGGGACTAGGATGGACCTTTAATTGTGACCGATTGGATTGTGAAATTAACATGCGTGTTCTGGATGTTTTCAAACATACGTAAAACACATGTTGGCCTGGAAACGAAAGTGAAACCATAACGGTGACTGAGGAGTTTTTGAAGTGCACAAATTACACATTTCAAATAGGTCCATCGGATTCCGTAAGAATTACCAAATGGATGTCCTAAAAACCCGCTGCGTGTCCTAAGGGAGCCGGTGTATTTACAAGGGACCGTATGGATTGCTTCAGAAATACTTGTGGATGCCAAAGGAAACCCATATTTCCAAAGGAATTCGATTGTCTTCCTTAGAGATCCTCCCAATCCTTAGGACTCCAATGGATGTCCTAAGTTCTCGTCGATTTCCGAAGGGAACCTTTGGAATTCCTTGGGCATTCTATGGAGGTCCTCAGCCATCTCATGGATGTCCTGCTGAATCCTGTGGTTTCCTAAGGAATCCTATACCTGTCACAAAAACCCGACGGAGATCTTAGGGAATCCTACGGATGTCCCAAGGACTCCGATGGGTTCCCTAAGGGATCCGATGGATGTTGTAAGAAATCCTCATAGGTTTCCGACAAAAAACTCCGATGGATGTCCGAAGGATTCCCATCCACGTCCTACGGAATCAGATGGCTTCCCTCAAGGCTCCGATGGGTTTCCGAAGAAAACCGATGGATGTCATAAGGAATCCTCTGGACACCCTTGGGCATCTTATGCGCTTTCTCAAAGAATCCATGTGGATTTCCAGAGGAAGCCTATGGATTCCATACGAAATATTATGGGCGTGCCCAAAGCAACTGCACAGATTTCCGAAGGGATCCAGCACATATCCTCGGGAATCTTACGGGTTTCCAGACAGGGATCCGATGACTGTCCGAAGGAATCCTATGGATGTCCGAAGGATTCCTATGGATGACATGAGCAAATATTTCCAAGAAGGAATCCGATGGAAGCCGTGCGGAATCCCAGTGGTTTCCTATGGCATCCCAATGGATTCGTAAGAAATCTGATGGGTTTCCCAAGGAATCCCCTTGATGTCCTAAGGAATCCGACGGGTGTCTAAAGGACTCCGATGGAAAGAAACCCTCACGAAATCCATGGAGTTCCTTCGGATATGTATGGGGCCTCCTAGGAAATCCATCGGAATCCTTAGGACATTCATAAGATTATTTCGGTAATATATCGGAACCTTCAGGTTTCCCATACGCTTCGCAAGGACATGGGCAGGATCAGATTAAAACATCTATGGGGTGCTTTCGGACAGCCATACGATTCCGCAGGACATGCGCAATACTCTGCCTTCGGGCATCCATAGGACCCGTTCTGAAATCCATTGGATCCTTTAGGACAGCCATTGGATTCCGTCGGAAATCCATAGGAACCCTTGGACATCCATCGGAGTTCTTGGGACATCCATGAGGTTATTTGGGACATCCGTAGGAATCAGTAGGAATCCGTGCTACGCAACAGAAGAAGATAACAACTTCGATTCGCAACTTTTCCCTGCGATAATCAAGTTCGGCCTTGCCGACCTTCTTCCCCTATCAGATCTGCATTGGCCTGGGATAATACACTCTCGCGTGTTCAGGGATGGTGATGATTATCAGGGGGACGCGGTTACGATGTCCAACAGAAAATGTTGTCCCAAACTGACAGCCGAGCCAACTGCTCAACAAAAGGGCGTCAACTGCTGTCGGTCTTCGTCCTAAGTGCTTCCGGCATGCCCACTCCGATCGTGCCGACCTAGGTTCTTCACACTCGTGCCAGCCGCGAGAAAATCGCAACATCGCAATGGAGCCCAAAACACAATCGTTCTGCTGCATTCCTCGAGCCCAGTCAACCTGTGAGGGCCCCAGGGCCAGAGAAACCCGGCGAAAACTCCCGGCGTGAACAACATCGCAACGCCTGGATCTCAGGGCAAAGCGAAGATTGTTCTGAACCCTCGTGCCAGCTGCAGCCTCGCCAGACGTCCTCTGACCTGACTTTTTCCACTTCGCGGCCACAAAAGTCCCGCCCGACCTTCCCCAAGGGGTTCGTTTTCCGTGCCGGGTCCTTTTTGTGACGACCCCAGGGACCGCTGAGCGTCGCTGAATGGGGGGGCGAGAAATGGGGGGAAGTAAAGGTGCACTTCTCGGGCTTTAAAGGCCCCCTTTGGGGTCCTCAGGGGGTTCTTTAGGAGCCCTGAAGTGCGCCTGTTCTGCATCCCTCGCTGCCCCAACATCTATCGACCCCCCCACTTCGCGACGCCAAAATCTGGGGTGTAGTTTTCCGTGCCGGATCTTTTTTTGGTGGCCCTGAGGGCCGAGAACGAACCCTGGTGGCCGGAATCCAGTAGTAACGCCCAAACTGAAACAAAAACGCATCGTTGATCTGCCCACGGGGAAGCTACTGACCCGGGTAAATGCAATCCTGGGTCAGACAGGCCTTTTGCAGGATCATGCAAGCTCCTGCAGGACCCTGCAAAAGGCCTGCGCTGACAGGGGAGACGTCGATCCCTATCCCAAGCTTCGTGGTGTTTTCGAATGGACCAGAGGGGCCCAACTCTGGGATATACGATTGGGGGGGCGTCCATCCTCGATAGGGGTGCGTCCGAGTAGCCTCCTTGGGGTGCATCTCGAGGTATCCCTCCTTTCTGAGCGACTTCATCTTTCGTAGAATAATATTGTTTTTGTTGGTGGGGTATCGCGTGCGACTGCAGAATCCTGCCAAAGAGCCTGCACACAAGCCCCGGTCGGCGCACCCCTGGCCCTGCAGGATGCTGCATTGACCCCCGTCTCCAAGCTCCCGAGACGTTCCCGGCCGTCGCCCCCCGGGACTGTAAGACGCCTACGCAGCACCATCCGCACAGGGCCGTCGTCGTCGTCGTCGCCGTCCTCTTCGTCGTCGTCTTCGTCTTCGTCTTCGTCTTCGTCGTCGTCTCGTCCTTCGGGACTGCAAGACACCCACGTAGCATCTGGCCCCCCTCTTGCCATCCGCAGCCCGCCTTCGTCGTCGTCGTCGTCCGTCGTCGCCTCTCGTCGTGGGCCGTCTCAAGGCTCCCGACCATTGCCCTCACGGAAAGGGCGGGCCGGCAGCACGTGGTTGCGGCGACGGCGGCGGCGGCTGCTGAGGTCGGCCCGGGCAGCAGGCGCCCATGCAAAGTGTGGCGGGGCCTGCCGGAGCCACGCCTTCTCGTCCGCCAGCCACTGCGTGACGCTGGCCTTCGCTGCGGGGGCGGGGGCGGAGGGGACCAAAGGGTAGGATAGGGAAAGGGCAGGGTAGAGAATCAGCTCACGTAGCTGGTTTGCCTGGCGCCTCCTAGCGCGGGGAGGCGCCCATGCAGCCGCATGCAGCAAGATTCCGTACCCTCCCCTTTCCCTATGCTACCCTTTCGTCCAGCCCGAGCGCATTGCTGAAGATGCCCCTGGCAGAAGGTGCCCCCAGCTTTTCCCTCGATGTTAGAGCTCCTGGGCCCCCTGGGCCTCGTGAGGGGTGCTCTGGAGGCCGTGGTTGCCTCCTTGGAGATCCTGGCTTCACCCTGGGTCAGGGGCACTTTCAGCAACACCCGACGGGGGGGGCCGCGCGAGGCGCGCGGCTACCGGTTTGGAACGTGTACCTGTCTCTATGACTGGCACAATTCGTATCTCGATGCCGATCTCAAGGATTCCCTGAGTAGCTGAGGGCACATCCCTAAGACTGTCATCGCCCTGGGGCTTGTCACCCTTCGGGGCAGGGGTGAGATCGAGACTGGAGAGCGGGTGCGGAGCCAGATCTCCGAGGATCCGTTTTGTTCAATCCGCAGTGCAGACTTGCAACTCACATGAGGAGGGGTCCATGGCCCCAGGGCCCAAAACCTGGCGAAGACGCCCTGTTTGAAACAACGGCACCGCCTGGATCTCACGGTCTTCCGCCCTCTTCGTTCTTAGAGGCCTCCCAAATGGGGTCGGAGTAGATGGGGTCGGAAGATTGCGCCGCATCGCCGATGCATCGTCGATGCACCGGCGACGTCGGCGATACATCGGCGACGTCGGCGCGGAGAAAGTCGGCCTCCGCATCAAGCCGTACCGCCTATGCATCGGCGTTGCGGCGCGATCCTCCGACCCCATCTACTCGGACCCCATTTGGGAGGCCTAGATCTCTATTGCTCCATCACAGCAGTCGTGCACACACACACACACACACACACACACACGCACACATCATCACAACAATCGTGCCAAGGAGGCGAAAGGAGCCCCGGGCCGGACAGGAGGCCCTCCATGCAGATGGTCCAGGGCGTCCTGGAGCAAGAGTCCGACGCCGGCCAGGAGGCGCTGCAGACAACACGAGCCCAAACGTGCGACGAGATGTTCCTGCTACAATCTGGGCGTTGCTCCAAGAGTCCGGCCACCAGGGCCCGTTCTCCGGCCCCAAAGGCGTCAACAGGATGAGCCGCCACGGAAAAAACAACTAACCCCCAAGGGGAAGTGTCGGGACCTTTTTGGCCGCGGAGTGAACAAGTCAGGTCGGAGGGCATCTGGGGAGGCTGCAACTGGCACGAGGGTTCAACACAATCTTCGCTTTGCCCCGAGATCCGGGCATTGCGATGTTGTTCACGCCGGGCGTTCTCGCCGGGTTTCTCTGGCCCTGGGGCCCTCACAGGTCGACCGGACTCGAGGAATGCAGCAGAACGACTGTGTCTTGGGCTCCATTGCGATGTTGCGATTTTCTCGCGGCTGGCACGAGTGTGAAGAACCCTTGGTCGGCACGATCGGAGTGGGTATTACGGAAACACTGAGGACGAAGACCGACAGCAGTTGACGCCCTTTTGTTGAGCAGTTGGCTCGTTGTCTGCGTCGCCGCGGGCGTTGGGCTCGAGGGCACCCCCAACAGCGGCCACTGCCCATTCTTGCCGTGCCTATTTCGCGCGCGCCGACCCTGGTTCGGAGAAGTAATGACCCTTGCGTCCACCGTGCCTGGGCCCTCAAACCCTGCAGCGGCGTTCGCTCGAGACATCTCCGAGGTGCCTCGGCACTCGGCGGGAGGCCATCGCGAATGCAAGAACCCTGAATTCCGAGAACACCGTGAGGACGCAGCCGAAAAGAGGTCCCCGTCGCTGCATCAGGGACAACCAATCTGGGTGGTGCGGTTTGAGGCATCTCCCCAAGGGATGCAGCAGAACGGCGGGCTCTGGTGATCGGGGGATGCCTGTGAAGGGCCCCTGGGACACACAAATAAATAGACACACATAACAGGATTCCCCATATGTTCTAGGCTTTTGTCTTCCCCCCCATTTCCCATATTTTCCTATATTTCCCTGGGAGTCGACGATTACTTGTGTCTGTGTGTTGTTTTTTCCCTCCTGAGCCTGGGATGTCGGGGCGGGCCTCGCGCCGCTACCTGGAGGGACGCGTGCACAGGGCGTGCGGAGCCTCGCCCCTCGCGTCGCGTCTGCCGCGCGCGGGTCGAACGGGCCTCGAAAGAACTTGGCGAACACTCGTGTCACATTCATCTGCCAGTGCCCCCCGATGATCAGTCTTGGCGGTGGGCCGAATGCGTTGCAATTCGAATGTCGTCTTCCTCGCGCGCGCCAACTTTGACTCTGGGGGAGAAGGGGAGTGTCCACTAGTTGTTTCCCTCCACCGACGGGAATACTGCGAAGTGGAGGCGTAAGCCAGAAGCACAGAGAGAGAGAGAGAGAAACAAAAAAGACAGAGACACACAAAAACAACAAATTCGAATTACGTGCACAATCATGTGTCTGAAAATAATTAATGTTCGGCGCTTTCAAAGAGAAGTCCCCAGACCAACCCAAGAGGCCCCCAAAAGGCCCAGAGACGGCCCAAGAGAGCCAGAATACGGTCCAAGAGGCCCCTAAGACGACCAGCAATGCCTTCAAGAGGGCCCCACGGAGGGACCCCAGAGGGGGCCCAAGAGGAGGAACTCGCAGAGACCCTGGGAGCCCTCCCCACAACATGGCCCCAAAACCTCCAACATGCCCCCCCAAGACGCCCCCAAGAAGCGCAGAGGCTCGAAAATGCCGTCTTTCAAGAGGCCCCAGAGGGCCCCACAACAGACACGGAAGAAGAAGAGCACGAATCAGCAGCGACTACCGTAGGCAGCACGACGGGAAGCTGCAACCAACACATACGACATGGGGGCCCGCGGATGACGTTAACATTTTGAAGAAGGTCGTTGGCTCGGAAGGTTCAGTTTGCCACCCAGCATACTTGCCCTGCCCGCCTATGCGGCGCGTCGGCGGGGTCGCAACGGGGGAGCCAATCAGTCAAAGGCTATTCATCGGCCACATCCTTGTTACTCCGCCGCAGTCTGCTCTGAACCCAGCGCCGCCTGATTTGACGACGGAGCGCGCCGTTCTCGTGTGGAAACGGGGCCCGTCGCTAATCCAAGCGCCCTACTCTGTGTTTGCGATTCCTTGATTTCTGTGCCCACTATCGCCCCTCCAACGCCGCCCGCTTTCTGCCTGCACTGCGTCACCTCCCAGGATGCCTCCTCGGGTAGTCGGGTCATGACTCGACTCCGACGGCCGTTCGGGACGATCTGGACCCTCCTGGAACGCCCCCGGCGCGGCGCAGCCGCTGGAAAGCACCCCGAGCCCTGGAAATCCGCCGAGAACGGAGGAGAACGTTCCACGACCTCGAGCCTCGAAAGGCCGAAACCTTCCCCCCGTGAGCCTATCCGCCCTAGCCGTGCCCATGCCCCGGCGCAGCGCCGCAGCTGCCTGCAGCGCCTCCAGGGCAGCCTCCTCGCGCTCCGCGCCAGCCTCCCTGGCGGCGCGCTCGCGAGCCAAGCCCGCCTCCCGGGCGGCGGACTCCCGCTGGAGGCCCTCCTCGACCGCCTTGAGGGCGTCAGTATGTGCCTCCGCGCCAGGGGGGGGGGTTCTCCAGATCCCTCCTCATCCTATCTCCTCGCTTTTCTCATCCTCCTCCTCCTCACGTCATCACCCGCTACCAGAAGACTTTGGAGGTTATCCAGTCTGCAGTGGAATCCAGTTTGCAGAGTAGTTAAGGTATCCGCAACTGCGGCCCAAGTAATATTCTGAGTTCGAGCGAGTGCTGGAGTTTGAACTTCCGAAGATCGACACGTACCCCCAGTGTTTCAGCGAAAGGTGGTCCAGGAACTTCATGCAATATTGGAATCGACGGATCTCGAGTACGTATCCTCAACTGATTGCAGAGGTTGCTGGCGGACAACACGCTGATCCCCCTGCTGCTAGCGCACAGTGATTACACCAAAGACGCGGTGGAAGGCAAACATGATATTATGGGCCTCATTGATGATGAGATATACCTTCCTCGATGTGGCAGATTAAACAGCTTTTTGGAAGTATAGAGGTGGGGCTGTCAAGGGACTCACTCAACCACTACTTCGGGACCCCTCATGAAATGTCGCAGACACCGCAGGCTGCGGCCCAATGCCGCACAGAGGGCACCCCGATATGCTCGAATTGTCTAAACGTTGTGTGCGCCTGCTGCTGACGCTTGGTCGGGCTCCTGGGGATATCATCACGTGCGATGGACACCAGAAAGGCAAGCCCGACCTCACAGAGAAGACCATTTAAAGATCTACTATAATGAAAGGGCTCAGAGACACACACACACACACAAGTAGAAACAACCCGCAGGAGTCCCCATATTATTCCACAATTCATCGAGTGCCATATTCCCTTCCACTTCCCGTAGCTTCCCATATCTTCCTGGAGATTGACGATTATTTGTCTGTATGGTGCTCCTTTCTGGCAGACCTTGCTGCTCGCCAAGCTGACACTCGTCACCCCTCGGTCATCTGCTGCCGAAGAGATTGTGATAAGCCGGGTGGGCATGAGTTGACTTCAATGTTGGTGTGCGAGCTGTCTGCTCAAATACTGCTTCATTTCCAAGGGCAAATAGCTTCGAGATGAACGCTTCGCGCTGCGCGAATAACTTTGCGCTCTCGCGCCGCCCCCCATGGGAAAAGATGATGAAGTGAGGAGGAACCAGAGCCGAATCGCGAAGCGCGAAGCACGACAAACTTCGCACCCTCGAGGGGATCTTGGACAAGCAGGCTAGGCATGCGTTGATTTCAATATTGGTGTGAGAGCTGTCGGCTCAAGTACAGTCAACCAGTATAATCAGGACATACGATAAGGATGTAAGGGCTTCGGAGGGCCATGTCGACACTGCGTGAGCGGGGCGCGGCCAGCGACAGCGGCCACGGATGGGCCTAAGGGGAAGGATGCCAGGGTAACCTTAGAAAGTTGTTCATCCTTACTATGCGCGTGGACTGTCAGCAGGCTAGGCATGAGTTGATTTCAGTATCGGTGTGAAAGCTGCCTGCTGAAGTAATACTTATCCCACGTCTCGGTTTAGCTGAGATCGATGTGCGGAAGTTGAACGCCACCGCCTACCCCCAAACCTCCCCCTGGGCCTGATCAAGACTGGCATTGGGAAGGGATGCTTTGATTGAGCTCGTCTTGCTGGCGGTCGTCTAGGGCCGTGAACCGACATGGCCGAAGCAAATGTCCAGGAGCCCCCTGCCGCAAAGGCATCACTGGAAACTCTTTGAAGGCCAACCTCCAGCAATCCACTGTTGGAGACTGCAAAGACGGCGAGGCAGTATGACAATGGCGGCCAGGTCCGAAATCGTGTTAGAATTATGCCCTGGGCCGCCTACGAATGCGAAGTATGGCCACGGCCGCGGATATTCCTGGTCCATTGTCTTGTCTGTCAAACATCCGAAGGCAAGAATGGAACTCGTTGCGAGAACCCGGTTTGATGGTCGATGACGGCTGCTTTGAGGCTGCCGTCCACTCTTCTTGATCATGCTCGCGCGCGCGACACTATTCTCGAGGAGTCCCACGCAATTCTGCCGCCCTTCAAGATGAATGCAAATTGAACATATTCCACCACCGCGCTTGCAGCGGTTGGTGCGTGTTGGGCCCGTGTAGTCAGCTACTTCGGCTTCTTGCGAAGCAATAACTGAAACCCCCCGCCGCGTCGAACCCAACGTCCTTTTAGTTGTTCCACCAAATCCCTGCGTTCTTCGCCCACCGACCGAAACATGGTCACATAAACGAAGGTGCGGGTAGCCATGTGCCGTGACATGCCCCCTCCCCGCGGCGATCCCCCCGCCCCCCAGGCGCCTGCCTGAGCGTGGTTGAGCAATCGCGCTGCAGCGCAATTAGAAAGAAGGCATGCGTAACAGGAAACAAGCCCACGATCCCAAATCGCAGATCGGTCAACGGATTCAGGGCTACGGTGATCGTCCGTCTTCGTTCCCACACCGACATCAGCTCCCCACCGAAACAGCAAGACGCCTGAGTTGTGTTGTGGCGCTCACGTTTTCGGGGTTCGTGAAGTTGAGCCCCGAGATGCGGACCAGGCTTCAGCCACAATTGCGGGCTCATGCGGGGTGGCGCTGGGGGTCCTTCCAGCTGGCCCCACTACCACTTGCGCCACCCGCAGGACTACTCCCGCTCGAGCTGGCTCTGGCGGCCTGCACATCCCTCAGCAGAACGGCGCGAGAAACCCGCCAAAGCCAGAGTGGGGATGATGAGCCCAGATCAGATCGGGATATCGCCGAGAACCTCTGAAAGCTGGCCGGTCCGCAGGCCGCGGACGCATCCGTTCCAGAGCGCCGTGGGCAGCTCCGAGGAAGTTCTGCAGACCTCTGGAGCGGTGTATCTTCTCCTGCACCTGCCTGGTGCTTGGGTCACTCACGCGCGCAGGCAAAACATTCGAAGACAACCCAAGACCACACACACACACACACTTCTCCGACGAGTCAGTCAATCGCACGCACATGCACGCACCTCCTTCCAACGGGGTCCTACCTCTGTGCAATGTCTCCCCAGTGCCAGCCTCTGGGGCCTAAAGAAACAGGGGGAATGGCACATCTTCTCGGGGCGGACGACGGGCTGGGGAACGACTAGGCGGCGACACCCCAACCCTGCCACCATCGACCATCGATTTTCCCGAATCGACGGGAGGCGGGGGTAGGGTTTGGAACTCGCCACATGCTCGAAAAATTGCGAACCCTATCCTCGCCGCCCATCGGGTTACCTGAATCGTTGATCGGCGAAGGCAGCCCGCGCATCGGTCCGGTTTGTCTGGCGCCTCCTGGCGCCAAACTGCGCGCATGCTTCGTGGGGAGAGTCCCGGGCGGCGGCGCCAGGACCGGCTGCGTGCAGCAGATGTCGTCCCCACCCCTTCCCGCAAACTTCTCGTCCGACCGGAGCGTCGCAGAGGGTCGAGGCTCGAGGCTCTGGGGCTTTTGGAGGGACTCTGTCTCGCCCGCTGGGAGGCTTTCGCGTGGCCATGTGCAAATTCCGCCTGACATTTTAGTCAGAGCGGACCCCTGGACACATGTCTGGGGTCGATTTTGCATCTGGAGGACAGGGGGTCGCGAGGAACAGCAGCAAAATCGTCAGCCCTCTACCGCTTCGAAGAATTCGCCGGCCCAACGGGCCAGAGGCGTGCTAAGATCTCCGGTAACTGCTAAATAATACTTCTACTTCGCGCGCGCGGGGCGGCCCCTGGGGGTCCCCGGACGAAAAGTACCCCGGGCGATCCCCGGCAGACTCGGGTCAGAGATGGTTTTCCTCCTGGGCGCCGCCCCCGTGGCCCTCCAGAGAGCCCCAAGAAGGGCCACGAGGCCGCCAAGAGCCCTCCAAGATGGTTCAAGAGTGCTCCGAGATGCCACACGATCGTTCCAAAACGCCCAAGATGGCCCCCAGACGCCCCAAGAGGTCTCCAAGAGCACTCCCCAGAGGGCCCCAAGAGGCAAAATTCATTACTTTTCCTTCGGTTTTGGGCAGATTTTGGCGTGTCCATCTTTTCGGCTTCCCGACGCCCCAAGACGGCCCAAGAGGCCCCCAAGATCGCCCCAAGAGGGCCCAAGAAGCTCCCAAGAAGGCCCCAAGATGGCCCAAGAGGGCTCCAAGACGGCCCCAGAGGCATCCAAGACGGGCCCAAGAGGGCCCCAAGCGATGCCCCAAAGGGGGAACACAAAACAAAACTTCGAGCCCTCGGCCTTAAGACGCCCCCAGGAGGCCTCAAGAGGCCCCTGAGAGGCCCCAAAAGCCCCCAAGAGGCCCTCAAGAGGCCCCCAAGCGACGCTGAAGAGGCCCCCCAGCGGCCCCAAGAGGCTCAGTCATGCGAAATGGGCCGGCGGAATGAGCGAAGCGATTCAATAAGCAGCCCTGTCACTGAGGACCCGCGCGTCGACGTTGGCGTGGGCATTGCCCTTGCAATTACTCCGATATGCCAAAATTGCCTGACCGATTGCCTTTTTCGGGGCCTCGGGCATTGGCACATGCGATGGCCGGAAAACTGCGCCCCTGCGTCGTGAGGAGAGCAGGGGGGAGAAAGAGGATCCTCCTCATCATCCAGCGCTTCCCTTCCTCCTCATGCTCTCGTGACTCCCGCCCGACCTCACACAATGAATCAAGACATCCCGGACAACGCAGAGTGGGAGGGCGCACAAACCAGGAGCGCGAGGAACGACCAACGTCATGTGAGACACGCATGGCCGCAGAGAAATACCCCACCTAATCGTATAGGACTCTGGGCCCCTCCCTGACCATGCTCTCCTGGGCACTTCGAGTTGAACCCCACTGTCGCAACGAGGTCCTGAGTCCTCAGGAGGACAAACGGTGGCGAAGGAGTGACGCCGCCGCCCTCACGTGCACTATAGAGTCTGAGATTGGAGTTCGATTGGCCGGCCCTTGTGCCCTCAATACAAGTGGAATTGCGCATCACCTCTCGCATACCCTTCATCAACTTCGCGTCCCGACTGCCTCAAAGGAAAAACAATATCATTCCTCGGGGGGACGGGCTGATCCACACAAACCTCCAGCTAGGACGTGGGCCTTGTTCAGCCCCGTCCGCATTCGTGCCAAAACCCGGGACCTCAAGCCTGGCTGCACTGTGCGCTAGCCGGCACTGCCTCTGCCCCAGCCGGCCAGCAGGGGGAGGAGCAAAACCCGCAGGCGGGAGCCAGATCCATATCCACGCCCTCGAGGCCCAGGCTTCTTGGCCGCGACCCCATGGATTCAGGGCGGCCTCCTGCGCGGAGCGTGTCCATGGGATCACGATCACGCCTCGGTATCCGAACCGCGAGGGCATGGATATGGATACGCTCGTCGTGCGATAAGAGAGAAGCCCTTTTCGAAGCCTCCGAGCCCGTCTAGGGTCTGCGAAGAACCCCTGCCCGCTCAGAAAGCCCCCGTCGCGCCACCCCCCGACACAAATCGGCCCACGACGGATCCCGGACCACACCGTGGGCCCATGCTGGTCAGCTTGTGGAGCTGAGCAGCTACCCCCTTCCGTGACGACGAGGGCAGCCCCTGGCGGAAGGTCCAAGACGCCCAACAACACTTTCTTCCGACGTCCTCGAAAGAGCGGACCGCGGGGGCATGGACATGCATGCGTTCCTGGAAATCCGCCGATCTGATTTTTCTATCCTCGGCTCCAGAGCCCCTAATCCCTTCCTTGGGGGTAGTCGATCCATGCTTGACGGCCCTGGACCCAGAAACGCTCCCCAACGGCCGAGGAAAGCACGCCGGGATTGAACCAGACACATGTCGTCGCAGATCTGGGTTCGTGGCTCGCGAGCGATAGGAGGAGGAGGGAGCCTAAGACCTAAGACCAACCATTTGAGCACGGCACACCATATGATACCTAGTGAACAAAAACCATGGTGAGATGAGGAGGAGGAGGAGGAGGAGGAGGAGGAGGAGGAGGAGGAGGAGGAGAATCGAGGAACAACGCCCGGATTGAAGAAACCGTATCGTCGGAGATCTGGGTTCGTCGCTCGCGAAAGGAATGAGGAGGAGGGGGCGACCGCCTGCAGCGCCTCCAGGGCGGCGGACTCGCGCTCCAGCCCAGCCTCCTGGGCGGCGGACCTCTGCTCCAGCACGCCCTGGACCCTCTGGAGGGCCTCCTGGCAGGCGAAGGGGCGCCCTCCGCCTCCTCTGCACGGCTGCGGTGCGAGGGGGGGAACGAAAGCGGGGGAGACTGTGTGATCCAGGCGTTGTAATTTTGCACGCCGGATGGAACAACACAGATCCTCGCAGCTCTGGGTCTGCCCCCGCTCTCTGGCCTCGAACTCGTTCCTCCGCCTCCTCTGCGCGACTGCAGTGAGGGGGAGACCGAAAGCGGGAGAGACTGTGTGATCCAGGCGTTTCCGTTGTTTCACCAAATTTCGGGCCCTGGGATCCTCTGAGATCGGTCCGGCTGTAACATGCCGCAGCAAAACGGGGCCTAGGGTTCCAGTAGAGAATTTTCGCGATGCCGCAGTTGTTTCGCAACGTCGGATCTCAAGGGGCAATGATCTGGACTCGGCGATATGTCATCAGCACACCGGCGACATGCCCCAGATAACGAACCCGCGGGCTCATGGGCGGGACGACGGGCCCAGGCCCTGGTTGGCGAGATATGGGCGATCGTGGTCGATGTCTCATTCCCCCGCTGATCCACTCCCCCCCACGAACCCACCCAGCGCACGGGGCGTCTACGAGGCGCCCACGCCCGCCCACCAGGCGAAACTGCGGCAAACCATCCAAGCGAACGGGGCGCCCACAGCGAAGTACGGGCCCCTGGCGTAATCATACTTCGGGGGGGAAGCATTTGTGCATCCATATCCGCCGGTCCCCTTGTGGGGCCACCAGGCTGTAGGGTGAGGTTGCTGCACCCTGCGCCAGTTGCAGCTTCAAGTCTACAATTTTACAGTCCTGCTTTCTGCTTCCTACTGTAAATTGTTGAAGTTCGCGCGAGGGGGGGGAGCCCCAAACCAGCAATTTACCGCTCTCGGATCGCTTGCCCTGAATTCCCGGGAAGGATGTGGTACACATAACAATGCATGAGACACGCGCCCCCGAGGCCAAAACCCCTCCACACTGATACAATACTCGCGTCCCCGAAGCCACAAACCCTCGTAAATTAAGCAGTCCTTGCTTCCCTGAAGCACCAAACCTTTGTACATTATACAATATGCACGTCCCCGAAACCATAATCCTAATTAAATTACCTATATTCGCGTCACCGAGGCCATAAACCCTCCCAAATTATAGTGTTTGCGTCCCCGAGGCAACACACCCTCGTACATCACACAAGATTCGAATCCCCGAGGCCATACACCCTTGCAAATTACACCTTATTCGCACTGCCGAGGCCCAGGGTGCTCTAAGGCGCCCGAAGATGTTTCCAAGACGGCCCAAGAGGGCCCCAAGAAGCCCCAAGAGCGCTCCAAGAGGCCTCCCGAGAGAACCCCAAGAGGCCAGCATCGCTGATTTTACAAAAAAAGAAGTGTTTGAAGGATTCTGGCCTTCCCGCATTTTCGGTGTTCAGACGCTCCAAGACAGCCAAAGACGCCTCCAAAGGAGCCCCAAGACGGCCCAAGAGGGTTCCAAGATGGCCCAAGAAGCCCTCCGAGAAGCTCCGAGAAGCCCCCAGGAGGCCCCAAGAGGCCGCAAAGAGGCCCTGAGAGGCCCCAAGAGGCGCCCACGACGCGCCCAAGAGGCCTCCAAGAGGCCCAAAAGATACCCCACGAGGCCCCAAGAGGCCCCAAAGAGTCGCCCAAACCGGATCCAAGAGGCCCCCGACAGGCTCCCCACGACACCCCAACACAGATACAGGAGGCCTCAGACCCACAACCCAGACACGGTGGCGGGAGGGCGAAGGCCACTAGGACAACGCCAACGTCTCAGTCTGCGCTGATGATTCCTATCCGCCCCCGCATGATGTTCCCAGATGCGCCAAGGCAGCGCCGAGGTGCACCGACGCGACTCTGATAGATCCAGTTCTGATAGAGAGGGGAACCTCGATCACTGGGCCCTGAACGCCGTGGTCGTTGCTGGTGAGCAGTGGCCCCGTGAGCGCCAGCGCGCCGCGGGCTACGTCTTCTCACCCACGTGTCAGCGCTGTCTCAAGGAGCCCGAGGATCTTTTCCATCGGGTATGGAGCTGTGAGGCCAACAGAGGCCACAAATATTTTGATGACAGCGTGCACCTCATCGAGCAAGCCCGTGTGAGACAGCATAGCTGCCGCAGCTGTTGGTTGCGTGGAGTCCCTGGCCGAGCCGAAACGGTCCCCAAGTTCGAGGACAAACCACCCACCCGCCTGTCTATGGGATCCCTTGATGCCGCCCCCCGCGACGCCGAACGTTACGTCACCTTGTTCGGGGATGGGTCGGGCGGGAGGTTCCAGGACGACCCTCGGCGTCGACGGGTCGACTCAGGGCTTGTTGGCTTGGCTCCTTCTGGCGATTGCTGGGGGCCTGCCTGGGGTCTTGGTTGTTCGATCGAGGGCCGAAGGCAAACTGTTCCTAGAGCGGAGATAACGGCGCTCGCGGAAGCCTTGGAGGCCGCACGGTCGGGGGCCTCCGTTTTGTCTCTGATCATCGCCCTCTGCTGGACTCCTGGGCCAAAGGTCTCGGCTCGTGCGAGGCGCCAGAGAGCGGTCAAAACCTCGACCTTTGGGCCAGGATTCAGAAGGCGGTGGAGGCTCGTTGCTCAGGCGCTGTCGAGCTGTTTTGGGCCCCGTCTCACCAGGCGAATGTGACCTCTTCCCGCCTGGACATGTGTCATGCTTTCGGCAATGAGTGTGCTGATGCCCTGGCTGCTGAAGCGGCCGAGCGCGGCTGGACCGAATTCGTGAGTGCCCCCCCCCTCACGGACCGACGTGACGCGGAGGCCGCGCTTGTGCGGAGGAGGGCGCGTCGAGCCCTGGCGGCGAGCATCCAAGCTGATCCATGGACCGCCGAGCGTCCCGACCGTGAGGGGCCCCCTCCCCCCCCCCAAGCTTGCACAGGTGTTGCAGTCGTCCGAGCATTGTTGGGGTCGCGCTGGTGCTAAGTTCTTCTGCCGTAGATGCAACCTGTTCTCGAATCAGGATTCGATGGTTCAGACGTGTGCTACGCGTTGTGTTTCTCAGAGCTCCTCCGAGTTTTCGCCGCTTCGGGGTCCCCAGGTAGTTGGGGAAAGGAGTTCCACGGGTCTCACACGCTACAATATTGGAGAAGCTATAAGCTCACTTTCTGCACGGTCTGCGGCAAGAATTGTACCACAGACCCCCGTCAACTAACCAAGATGTGCGAGCCGTCCCCGAAGGGACGGCATCATGTTGCCAACATTCGAACTGGCAAGTTTCCCCATCCGTCTGGACCTCCAAAGGCAGCCAGTGATGATGAGTCTCAGGGGCTCTTGAATTCACTTCGTATGCAGAAGCCGTAGTGCTGTTTCTGTTCGTACTGTCTGTGGCGAATTCGGTAGGCTTCGCCGTCTCCGAATCCTGGACTTCTGCTGTCGTCATCCTGAAACGTTCCTGAAACGTTCCTCTCTCCTGCATTGCCCCCCCTTTCCAGCCTGCGTCCGTCCCCCCTCCTTCCCGATTCTCCTCCTCCTCCTTCTCGTCCTCCTCCTCCTTCTCCTCATCCTTCTCTTCCTCCTCGAGTAAGGAAGCACACTCCTCCTCGACTAGCGGAGCACAGTCCACAACCGCAACGCCACCCTCGAAGTTTCCCCACGGCCGCAACGACGAGGGCGTGCTCCTCCTCCTCCTCCTCCTCCTCCTCCTCATCCTCCTGCTCCCCTCTCTCCCTCTTCCTCCTCCTCCTCCTCCGCCTTCTCCTCCTCCTCCTCCTCTGGCCATCTCGGGGCGGCCGCGGCCGCCTGCAGTGCCTGCCGGGCACTGCACTCGCCCCTCACGGTCTCGGTGAGGTCGTCCCGCACCTGCTTGAGCTCCGCCTGGCAGGAAAGTCACGGCTGCCGAGTCTCTTCCCTCTTCGGCTCCTCGATCGCCCGTGCAGCGAGGGGAAGACGGTCGCATGGCAATGCTAAGACCCCTTCCTCCAGAGGCCCGTCCCTCCGTTCTGGACGCACGAGATGTGGACAGAACAAAACGGAGCACGATGCCCAAGAGCAAAGAATGCTGGGCAACCAGCATGTCGCCCCAACGGACAGCGCTCGCATCGACACCGACAGCTAGCCCTTTTAAAGCCGACAGGAACAACTACCAGTCTTCGTCCCTTGGAGGCCTCCTAGATGGGGTCCGCGTAGATGGGGTCGAAGGATCGCGCCACATCGTCGATGCACCGCCGATGTATCGGCGATGCATCGGCGACGTGGACGATGCATCGACGACGTCGGCGTGAGGCAAATCGGGCTCCACGTCGAGCCGCACCGCCAATGCATCGGCGACGCGGCGCGATCCTTCGACCCCATCTACTCGGACCCCATCTGGGAGGCCTAGACCCCTATTACTTCCGTACCCATGTCGATCGCACCGATGCAGGGCGATCCTTGGGAAACCGATTGATCTGGGCTACGCCTGGTCTCGGTAAGGCCCTGTTTGGCGCACGTGGCCTGAGAAAACCATGTATCCGATTATCTGGGATAGACTCCTGTGCCGAGAGAGGCTAAACAAAATCTACAATCGGCCACATCTGATCCGGGAAGCGGAGAGAAAACAACAATCCGGAACACTTGAGACACAAATGGGAGGCGCACGTCACCGAATACCCCGTGCCCTGATCACTCGGGATTCTGAGATCAATACCATGTGACTCCCGTGCCGAAATAATGCTAAACACTATCTACAATCGGCAACATCAAATCTAAGAAAGCGGAAGGAAAACAACCATCCCGAAAACTGAAGACACAAACGGGAGATGCACGTCAACAAATAATTATCCCGTGCCCCGATCACTCGGGGCTCTGAGATCCCCTCAGTCCGGGGACGCGTGGAAGCGAAACGCAAATAAAAACTGAAAGCCCCAACACTTTGGTGCCAAGGCTCGGAAAGGACGAAGTTAGCTCGCGAGGAAGCGGAAACGCCACACTGCCGCAGGGACGAAGATCGACAGCGCATGGTGCTCGACTAAGCTCCTGGAAGCAGCTCGGACAGTTCACGCACTCCATGGCGTGTCCTGTCGCGCTGTCATGGCACACTCTCACGCGCAAGGACAAGCAAACGCATACAGTATCTCGATAAACAACTGGTCTTGGTTGATTTGCTGTCCCGCGCTCTTGTGCAGTACATGTACACAGTGGGGCTACTAATGCTCAATACCACCGTTACCACGAAGCCAACCACTGTCAGATCACAGGTGTCTACGAATGCAAACGCAGATTCACAGAACGGCAGGTACTAACATAGTACGTGCTTTGGTAGCTCGTAAAGGCAAGGCAACAGGGGGACACGCCGGCGAGGACGGCGGCGAAAGCTCTCCGAAGCCCAGCGGAACAGGAACGAATTGCCAGGACAGCGAAAACGAACGCGATGCCCCGAGCATAAAGAAGAAACGTAAGGCAACGCTTCGACCTGAAGAAAATACCTACATGCCCGAACGTCTGCCAATCTTTTGTCTGTTTTCCGCGGCCACAGACACATGAGTAGATGAAGACACATCAACATAAGAAAACTCACGCTTGTGCAACTGCTTCTTCTTCGAAAAAGGTCCCGACCGCTTCCCAATAGGTAGATCTTGTCCTGGATCCACATTGAATGACCCCAAAGCCCAAAACCGGCACCCCGAGTGCTGAAATCTATATTAGGGAAACCGCTCGGCGACCAAAATCATGGCACCTTCTGAAATCTGGGCAATTTCGCCCTGAACGTAATTAAACCGACCCCTATCCCCACCGGCGTGGCCCAGGCCCCCTGGCCGAAGTAACCCCTCTGCAGATGGGGACATAGGCTGTTCCCTGCGGGTGTCGAGGGGTATATCCCCAACTGGGGTGGTCGTGATGGGATCGGTTACTCGGGATGTCGCAATGAACGGGGCGGGCCTGATTTGGGCGGTGGGGTCTGATTTGAGCTGTCAGGCTTCCAGTGGGTCTGGGCAAAAGGCCGCCCTTTCATGGCTAGATTGGGGGGTCTCACAGAACCGACAGTAAACCCCGCCTTTCTTTCAAAATCAACAATAAACGATCCTCAGCCTTCACTTGCCGCTGGGACAGGACTCCCCCAGCCGTCCGCCTGCAGCGCCTGGTGGGCGGCGGACTCGCCCTCCAGGCTGGCCTCCCCCCGGGCGGAGGGCGCGTTGGCCAGGGCCTCCCGAACCTGCTGCACCTCCGCCTGGTGGGCATCGCCGAGGGAGGTCACGAGCGGCGAATATAAGACGAAGCCAAGACGAAGATAAGTTCTGGTGAGGCAAAATCAAAAATCTCTGAGATCCGGCGGCTCTGGCACATGTCTCGGGCGCCGCGGCTTTCTCACAGAACGCTCTGAGAGCGTTCCGGAACACTCCGAAACGGATTTATCCTTGTCCTGGCCCGTCCGAATGGAAGTCACATCCTGACGGTTTCTATCTCAACGTTCTCTTTCTATTTCTCCTCCACAGGGCCGGTGACCGCGCCTCGGGGACATCAGAACACCTGAACCCTGGACGAAACACTGCCGCTGGGGAGTCGGTCGGGAGCTCTGCGGCCACGGATGGAACATATCATACCGGAAGACATCTGAATCTATCCTCGAGACCCTGCCTGGCGGCCCTCAGCCATGACGATTTCGGGCACAAATCCTTCTTGGACGTCTGAGGCCCTTTAGGGTCACGGCTGGACGCAACTAGAAAAACTGACACGAACTGACCACTGGGAGGAATCTGGGGGTCCGTTGTGAGCGGATTTGCGGCGGGGGGTGGCGCCAGGGGGGCAGCCTTCTGAGAGGGCAGGGGGTCCTCTGGTAAAAGGCTCGGATGCTTCGAAACAAGTTCCCCCGTCCACGAACGACGAACATATCCACATCCTTGGCCTGGCCGTCTTGATACCGAAGCGTAATCCCATGGACACGCGATCCCCTGGGCACCCTTCGCGCGGGGCGTTCTCGCGAAGGCTGTCCTGCGTCTATGGGGTGGCGGCCTCGAAGATCAGACCACGAGGCCGCCAATCATTGGTATGGCTCCCGCCCGTCAGGATCAAGGAACGGCCCAGCGTCGCTTGGGCAGCATCACTACAGGCGCCCAAGCTCAAGGTTGCCGACGCGGCCCAAAACTGTTGGCTCGCACGCTCCGCCTAGCTGGACTTCAAGTCGTCAGCCCCACTGCTAGCGCAATCGCCACACCCTCCCATCCGCAACTGGCCCATGTGGCCGCGATTGCGGTGACGACTTGGCACTGGCTGGCGCATTTCGGCGGCTGCGCTAGCGCATGCAAGCCCGAGCGCAATGCGCCAGATGGTACGGCACAACCGACATTGCTGCGATGGCGCTTGCCGAGGGCGGCTTCCGAACTGTGGCAGCGGCGGTTACACGTAATGATTTAGCCCTGAACCAACGTAGATACGGACATCAATCACACTAGCCCTGTTTCGCAGGGCTTCTCGACAAACGCA